CCTACTTGCAGAATTAAGTCACCCCTTGGCTGGAAGAGAAAGGACTCTGTCTTGCTGAAACTGGACCCCAAGAAGTGAAAAGGGAAGCACACAACCTGTTCGGTGTGGGTGTGCACACAGGGGGTTTGGAGAAGTTCTGGCAGGAGTCGGAAGGTGCCTGAGGACTGCAGCTCCCGGGGTGAGGATCTGCTGCATCCCCCGGCACTGTGACCATGAGGGCCTGGGCTTTGGTTTAGGGCCCCTCCCACCTGCCCACCTCTGGATGTTGTTCAGAGACTGACAAGGACTTACAATTTCTTTAGAGGCTGGACAAGTGTCATGTGTTTGGGAGGCATGAAGGGGTCCTGTGCAGAGACAGGGGCATGGCCAGAGGGCTCTCGGTGGAAGCGTCCATTCCTTCTTCGGGTCCTAGTTTCCAGGTGGTCCCTCGTGGCCCAGACGTCCTGCCCGTTCCGGCAGCCTGCCCACCACCCACTCTCAGGGTGGTTCTGACTCATTCCAGGGGCCAGGGTGGCTTTGCGATGTCAGAGGTCCCTGCGTCGCTGCTGATGGCCTGGCCCCACCAACCCTCCTTCAATGGTTCCATGCACACACATACCCGGCAAATTTGGTGAGCCTAGCAGAGCTTTCTAAAAATTTGGGGATCACAAGAAGTCTCCTCCTGTTGCTGCCAGCATCTCAGTCTTGCCTCCCCCTTTCTCCTCTGCACACACACTCCTCTCTACTCACGGTGGCTGAGTAATTGCAGCTGTTGTTCGAATGTGTACCCAGCACCCTCACCCTGTGGCCATTTCTGTCTCCCACCCAACCCCTTCCTCTCTCCAGTCCGTGTCAAGCTCTTTCCTCCCTACCTATTCTCTCAGAGGAAGAGCTGGACCAGACGGCATTACTCTGACCACACACGTGAAACCATTTGTTGGGGATGGTCTGAGAGCTGTCCTTTCAAGTGTCCAGACCCTTTTCCATTAGTAGCAGTGGAAGGAGACCTTGCCCCCGAGTTGGGGGAAGGGCTGGCTGCCGGGTCCAGCCAAGGCTGCCCAGCAGTTGAGGCTCCCAGCCTTTCACACCTCTTCCATTGTTTTCCAAATGCTTCTCTGTGCCAACGGACGTAGGGTTTTAATGCACTTCTCAATGCATTGTGATCTGTGAGTCATATAGAGCTGCCCCGGGGCTCTCGTTCAGCCAGGCTTCCTGGAGGTCTGGCAGAAAGTGGATGCTCAGGCAGCCTGGGCGGGAGGACCACCGTGGGCAGCTGCCCCACCAGCCTCCTGGTTGTAACTGAGGCAAGCCAGCTTTGATCAGCCCTGCCCAGGCAGCCCCCACCCACTAGGGCTGTGACATCCCAAGGGCCACCTGTTAGCTCCACACCCCGACCCAGCCTGCAGGAAGGGGGGAATTCCTCCACGTGCTCATTTGGAGGCCTGCCTGGTTTGGGGGTCCAGTATGCAGGGTGCACTCTATGACTGAGACCTGGGGACTGTGGTGCTCACAATGGCAGTAGCACTGGTTCCTGGCGCTCAGAGGGCCTCTGCACACTGCAGGTGGCTCTGGGTGGCACTTCCTGCCCCAAGCCTGTCTGGTGGCTCCAATGCCCGAGTAGAAGCCCCCTCAGTGGGAACCCAAGGCCCCCAGTTCCAGCCCCCGCGCACCGATGCCCTGGCCGAGGCTCACAGGACAGTTACTGTGGTCCGTAGCTCACCCTCGCTGAGCCGCCTCGCAACACTCTTCCCATCCTAGCACACCCACGGCCCGCCTGTCCTCCAGGCCTGGGTCAAACACCCATGCTCGGAATGGAGTTCGTTCCAGGTAAGTGAGACCTGTCTGCGGAAGAGCCGGTATGGCTCCCAGCCCAGGCCACCCGGACACCAGGCACTCTCAGGGGTGTCACAGACTTGAGGAAATGTGCTTGCTCCTTCCCTCCCACCCCAGCCTGGCCTGTGGTAAAACTCCTCCCACCTCGGGGCCCAGAACATTCTCTCCACTCTCCTTCTGTCTTTACTTCGATGCCCATTTCAAGAGGTAGACTGCATTCTTGCTGAGCCCCCTGGCCTCCCTCCCAACCTCCAGCACCCATTGAAGGGGCTATGGCCACCCTGTTTGGCCTCCTGGAGGCTGTGTCTGTGAGTGTGTGTGTGTGAGGTGGGCCAAGGGGCACATGATCGACCCTCTCTGGGGGAGTCACCCCCAGGAACATCCCCACTCCCAGAATCTGACGCTGAAGGAAGAACACAAAGGCCACCAGCAGTACTTATAATTCTGATCATTTTCTTTAAAAAAAAAATCAAAAAACCCACACACACTAAAAAAGAAAACTCCCCATCCTTAACCAGCCAAGTGTAACAGGTTAGCCATTAACACGAGAAGAGAGAGACACTGAAGCCACACACGTCATTACTTGGTGGAGGTATTCGAGCCGGGCCGATGACCGGTGGCAGCAATGTAACAGTGGCAGCACTGATGTATGTGGCAGGGACTCCGACAAGGACACAAAGACAGCAAAAACATGCTGGAGAAGCCAGGCTTACCTGACCCGGCAAATAAATAAACACAGCGCCAACAGCATCCTACATGTTAATGAGACCTCAGGACAAAACAGAACAGCACCACACTGAACAAATGCTTGCTGGTTATGCCGGGGTTTGGTTAAAAAAAAAAATTAGTCCCCACAAATGTGATGCTTCAGGCACAAGTCAGTAGAGTGGTCAGAAAGAACAAAGTCTCTGCTCCCCAGACGCCGACATGGCAGGACCCAGGGGTGTCTGCAGGCAGGCACCTTGGGATGCAGCCCCGGACCGTCCCACCTGCTGAGGTGGGTCCCTGGGCTGGGTTGAGTTGGGAGACAACCCCAAGAATCTCAGACTGGGCCTCCCACCCACCTTCAGTGGAGGTCCCAGCCCAGTCACTGGGGACAGCCAGCTGCACTTCAGAAATGCCTTTGACCTCTCAGTGTGGATAGGGAACCCCGGGGCCCCAGTCTAGCCCTCTGGGAGCAACAGTGCCCCAGTTCCCCATGACACACACCTGTCCTCAGGCTGCTGAAGACCACTGTGGGGCAGCCACCATGGCCTGGACAGGGCTGCCTGGTTCCCCACATCCAGCAAGGCCCTACTGCTCCAGAGCCAGAGGTTTGAAGCAGGACAGGAGCCCAAGTGCCCCCTCCCCCTCCGGGAGAAGCCAACTGTCCATTTAGTTGCTGCTGAATCCCCATGAAAAGGCAGGTGGGCCATGCACCCGAGTCAGCATCCGGCCACCTGTGCATGGGGCTGCAGTCACTATGAGGTCCAGTCTCTTGGGCATGAGCAAACCACCAGGCAGGTGGTACACTGACTGACCAGTGCCCCCATTTGCAGGTGAGAAAACTGAGGCCCAGGGCAAGGATTCTGGCCAACACAGTAAATCTGCAGTCAGGTCTTTGCAGCTTAGAATGGCCAATCCAGCCAGCTTGCCTTATGGATTTTCCACCCTCAGATGTTGAGCTCCACCCCAGATAAGTGACATATGGCCCCAAGATAAGGAGACTTGCATAGAGGCCTGTCCTCACACATTGGAAGTCACAGGATGGCACTGGCCTCCTGACCAGCTCTGCCTCCTTCTAGCAGGGCGTGGTGGGCAGTGGGGAACAGACACCTGGCTGACTCCTTTCAGCCTCTAGGCCTAGGGTCTCCAGAGCTCCTTGTCAAGTTCCTTTAGGTCCACTGGACTGTGTGGGGGTCCTGGAGCCCAGGTAGGGGGCAGCTGGCTGCCTGGGCCATTGGAAGCTCACATATCTGAGCAATGAGGCCTGATGCCTGAGGACTCAGCTCAACCTCCTCAGAAAAGCTAAGTGGTCAGAGACCAAGGCAGAGCCCCACCACCTAAGACGGGGGCCTAGAGGAGGACAACCTGAGCCCAGGAAAGCCAGCTGGTTGCCAGATGTGTTGGCTGGGCCTCAGCTGCCTCCCTTGGGCAAGACACCACAGGAGCCCACGGACAAAAGCCTCCCTGGGGAGGAGGGTGGACGCGCCATGTTGGTGCTCAGGCTCCCGGAGAGTCGGGGAGGCCTCCGCAGCAGGTGCAGAGTTGGAGCAGTGCGGAAGGCTTCTGCTGAGTCTGGGGAAGGCCGTGCCAGTGGCAGGAGGGGATGGATGATGGTGCTATGGCCAGGAGCGGGAAGCCAGCCCCAGTCAGCCTTTTGGGGTTGCCATCCACCCAGTGAAGTCAATTCTGGGGATCCTGGCAGGGGCTCCCTGGGGGTCCTGGATGAGAAGCTCATTAAGGGCCTGAGCATCTGCCTTCTTGGTGGCATCTGTTGCTAGATTTCTGGGCTCTGAGAGAACCTGAGTTACCTCCCAAACTGGACACGTAGCAGATCAAGAGGCAGCGTTACCTGTACACCAGGCCTGATGCGCCGCCCACAGGGGAGGCCCAGGTCCTCCTGCCTTTGTGCCTTTGCTCAGGCCACCATGCCAGGCAGGACGCACAAAGTCAGGAGCCCCAGGGCATCCTGAATGACCAGGGTCTAGCCCAGAAACCAGCAGGAGCTCCAAGATCGAACAGATGCCCCGGACCTCAACCTGGAACTCCACCAGCGACAAGAACTGGCTCTTACTGTGGAGCTGGGGCTGGCCACTTCGCTGAGAGTTTCCTTCCTTTCTAGGGGTTAGAGAGGGATGGATCCACCTCAGGTCTTTAAGGCAGAGACATAAGCCCGGGGTTAGTTTCCCAATGTCACTACAACTACTAACAAAAAAGGAAAAAGCCAAACACACGCACATGTCAGTGCGAGTCCACTGCCCACACGGTGAGGCCGAGTCTCAGCGGCTCACTGGCAGCTGTGGTGTTCGGCTCTTGGAATCCCTCCTCCCTCCAGACTGTGCCTGAAGCTGGTGCTGGGGGTCTCACTCACGAAAGGAGCCAGCCCCGGAGGCACGTCATTCTGCTGGCAGTGTAAAGGGACAAAAGATTGTCCCTACCTGTCCTTCCCCATTTCTTTAAAAAATAATCATCACTGTGGCATCAACTTGACCCAAAAATTAAGTTAAAAAAATAATTCAAATAAACAAAGGTGGAAAAGGACAAGGACCCTCTTGGGTCCTTGGCAAAAAGTCCACAGTCGGTCAGAAGGCCCAGTCTCTTCTTAGTTCCACATTCGTGCCTTGCGCTCTTTTAGACTTATTGATAAAAGTTCGTCTTCTGGGACTAAATTTGTACCAGTTTTCACAGTGTCCCCAGCACCTGACCTGGTAGAGGGATGATGCGGGGTGCTCAGCTGAGCTGCCTGGATGATGGGCTGAGTCGATTTTTAGGTTGGTGAGTTGTTTTAAAATGATCTTTGTGCGTTTTCCGTTTGCCCGAAACTGGCCCTGCACAGCAAATCCCGGCTCTTCTCCCTTACGTCTCCTGAGGGACCACTTGCATGAGCTTCTGGCAAAGGACTGTCATGGAAACTGCAGGGGAGGGGACAGCAGAGTTACTCGAGTGTCAGGCAACCACGTGCCTGGGGTCCAGGGGCACCCCAGCCAGAGTCACGACACAACTTCCACGTTTACAAGAGAAGCCAGAAACCCTGAACTTTATGTGGTACCTCCTGACCTGAAAATGTGAGCACTGGGCCCAGGGGCCTCCCTCCCGCAGGTACCAGCCCACACTCCACCAGGTTAGCAGCAGAGAATCGCTGCACCTCTTCCAGTGGCTCGAAGTCGCCCTAGAGGGGGGTGTGGCCAAGGCACTTGGCAACAGGCTGAGCACTGGCTTCGCCCCTCACCCTGTTTGAGAACCCTGGGATCATGGGAAAAATCAAAGGGATAAGAAGTCCTGATGCCGGGGGACTTTTTGATGGCCCTTCCCATTTGTTCACACCTGGGCCACTGCCTCAAAGACACCCAGGACCAAAAGCAGGGTCACTGCTCACTGCCAGAGGACAGACACAGGCCTGTGATCTTACAGAGGGGGTGGAGCAGGGGGACATGTGCAAGGGGCCCAGATGAATACTCTGTGGGGGCGCTTTCAGGACAGAGAGCCCTGCTTTAGGGCCTGGGTATATTCTGCAAGATGATTAATAAGGAGCCTACTAGACTGGGCTGGAGGCAAAGGTCCACTGAAATGACTGACAGTCTTGGTTACCAGGTAGGTGCCAATCAGAATTCCAAAACAGCCACCCAGGATGCGGTGACTGTGGTGCAGGCTTGCTGACACCAATGACTTTCCCAGGAGCTGGTCACATTAGGGACCCTAGTACAGGCTCCCAAACTTGGCTTGTCAATTTACCCTGTGACCTCAGTGCAGAGATCCTGTTTTCTCCTTCCCTGCCTTTCTGGGTCAGTCTGTGTTTAAGCTGGCGACAGGCAGTGGTATTTCATTACTTGGCAAAAGCAGCTTGGTTTTCTGGAATCCCTTGTTCTGAGATTAGCTGGTGCCAAGCTGAGAGCCTTATCCCTGAAATACATGGGCCAGATGTCACCTCCAGACACATCAAGTGCCTGAATCCCTTGGTCTGTGCTGCGAGCACACCCCCCACCCCCACTCCGGCTATGGGATTAGATGAGACAGCAGACAGTCTGCTGGGGGAGGTGGACACTGGCGGACCCTAAGCAGGGTGGAGAGAGGCGCCACTGCCGGGCTGCACCAGGGGCGATACTCACTGATGCCCTGGAGGAGCCACTGGGGCTTGTTTTTCCAGGAGACCCCAAGAAAGTAGACGGGCAGGCCGCTGAGGATTATGGCAAAGCCAATACCACACTCCACGGGGGTCTTCCAGAAAGAGATGGCAATCAGGAACAGGCAGGCCAGGATGAAGAACACGGGGAGCGCCAGGTTCACCTGGGGACAGAGGGTGGGGCAACGGCGGTCAGCACCCACCCCTCACTCCACATGCCTCCCACGCCCTGTCGGCACAAGTCCTCTCCCTTCCGCTGAAGGTGCTGTGTCCCCACCACCCTCCTGACCTTGGCGCAGCCGTGTTCCTCCCCTGGGCACTTCGCCTCCCCCATGGGAACCCGCAGAGCACAGCCCGTGCCCTGGTGCCAAGCCCATGCCCCCGCCTGGTCCGAGAGGGGCTCTGACCTCCAGGGCCGTCCCTCCTGCCCATCTCCCTTCCCCAGCCTAGCCTACGTCGGTTTCCTCAGAGCTGGCCTCCCAGGAGGCGGGGGTCTCTGGAGAACTGAAACCTTCCCTTGTTCTCCATTTACTCAGCACAAGGCACCAGGCAGTAATTACTCAAAGCGTAGATGGTGCCAACCGTGAACACAAATAACCAGGTTAGTCCCTCGAAGCTTCCCAAGGTCAGAGGAGGTCGACCTTGCTGTTTCCCACATCACAGGGCAGAAACCCCAGCCCAGCACCCACCCAGTCACCCAAGGTGGGGGCACTTCTGGAAAGGCCACCACCACCCACTAATAAGTGAGGGGCAGCCGCCTGCTCAAAGAGCCTTTGTGGGCAGGCTGACTACAGTCTGCACAGCCACGAGCAGGCAGGCCTAGCCGTGGAGTTCACAGCAGACCAGCCACCCCGCCCCACACCCTGCTTCTGCACAGGAGTGGGCTCGTCTACACACAGACCTGGCCCTCTATCTACACACTGGCAAGAGGCCCTGGGAGATAAAGGGCTAACGAGGGTCCAACTGGGCAGCCCACACTGCATGCCCTTCCCCAGCCCAGGTTAACAGTGAAACAAAGCCTACTCTGTGCCCAGGATAGCATGAGGACAGAGTCCACCACAGGCACAGGCTGACAGGGGACCGAGTCAACCACATACCCAGGTGACATGGAGATAGAACTAAGGTGTCCCTGGTGCCCCAGAAGGACCTTTTCAAGGCAGGGAACTGGGCCCTGCTGGCATCTGTAGAACTGCTGGGTGGGGGACACTGGGATGTGGCCTGTGGGCAGGTGCCAGATGGGATGGCCAAATGCCACTGGGGACTGGACAAGGGACAAGAGCTGCCAGCCAGTGGCCTCCATGAGTTCCTCCCTCTAACTCCCCGACACGAGTTGCAGCCGAGGTGCTCAATGAACCTCAGCAGGAGCATGGACTTCATCGGTCCCTCTTTTTGGAGAAACGAGGCCACCCCCGGGCAGCTGTCCCCCAGCACTGGGTTAATGAGGAGAGCTGCATTCACCTTAGGCCGGGCTCAGCCCTCACCTCGGCTTTCTCCTGGGCAGCCCAACGCCCAGGCTCTCTGCACTGAGGCAGAGCTGTCCCGCCTGTGTGGGGTGGGCAGGACACATCACCTCCTACCCTACAGGTGGTCCCTACACCTCCGCCCACGTGCCGTCCTGGTCAGTGGCTCACAGGCCAGTGAGGCCCAGCCTGTCCGCGCCCATGGTGTTCATCACCCACCTACCGGGCACTGCAGGTTTCTTCTTTACCATTCTCCCTTTTGTTAGAACACAAGCTCTAGGAGGACATGGATTTGGAAGGAGTCTATTTTGTCCTTTGATGAGCCGCAGCACCTGGAATCACCTTGGCAGGCACTCCACAGGTTCCCAATGAACAGTCACTGACTGAGTGACTCACCCTCCATGTCCGAGTTTAGAAGCACGTTCACAGGTTTATCTTGGTGGATCCTCACCGGAACCCTCTATAGGAGGACGGTGGCTGCCCAGGCACGTGCCAGCATGGGCAGAACCAAGAAGCTATGCAGGGCTGGCTCCCAACACAGGGCCCCCAGGGATACTTGGGCCCGGTTTCTTCGGCACATGACCCACCAAGCCCGGGGTGTGCACCAGGCCTGGGACGCCCACCACAGCTGGGCCCTCACCTTGATGGGCCGCTCCAGCTCAGGCCTCTTGTAGCGGAGCCACAGCATCCCGATGATGGCCAGGGCCACACAGAGCCAGTTGAAGAAGCTGAAGAAGTTGATGACGGAGAAGATGTCGGTGGAGAAGGCGTACAGCAGAGTCATGATGCACTGCAAGCAGAGAGACGGGGAAGTGTGAGCCCTCGCAGGGCCTTGGCCCGGATGACTGAGGCCACCTCGATACTGGATGTGTCTGCAGGGGGCACGTCTGCAGTCCCGATTTAAGGGAAGACCGAGTCTGAGCAACGCATGAGTTCTCAGAAAGCCACACCTGACACCCACTGCAGCATTGCCTGTAAGAGCAATGGCTGGGAACTGCCCCAAGTACCCAGCATGGGGTTCATCTGAGTCAGCTGCAGACACTCGGGCCACTGGACACCATACCCCGGTTTCGAAACTGAGCTCAAGCTCTATGGTTTTAGAGGTCCCAGGGTCATCTGCTATCTGTCCCTTCGAGAAGTGGGGCCTGGCCTGGCCCTCTCTCCCTGAGTTGGGCTACATTTACTGACTCATTCCTACCCAACAGACCGAGACAGAAATGACAAGTGTGACTCCTGAGCGAGGTCATAAAAACATGGTGGCTTCCTCTTTGCTCTTCCTTTCAGCTCCCTTTCCCTTGGGGGCGGCCAGTTGCCCTATCACGGGGGGACGTCCACACAGCCCTGCGGACAAGCCCACATCCTGAGGAACTGCAGCCTCCTGCCCACAGCTGCGGTGGGAGGGGCCATCCTGGACGTGGCACCTCCAGCCCCGAACACTGTCTTGTTGCCACCTCACGAAGGACCCTGACCCAGAGCCACCCAGCTAAGCTGCCGTGAATTCCTGACTCACAGAAACTGAGAGATGATGAATGCTTTCTGTTTAGGCCACTTAATTTTGGGTGATTTGTTACAAAGCAGTAGAGAACAAATAAAATCGTGTCTACTGGGTGAGGAGAGACATAAGGCAAGCTGAAGAAAAACACACATGATGTGATCTCACTAGAAACACAAGCACTGTGCGTGTGCACCTGTGAGCACGCCGCAGCGCTCCGCCCGTGAACTCTGGCTCCCTCAGGGAATGAATGGGGCTTCTGCTTCACATATGCTGGACCGTTTGAAGTTTTTTTTATAACTACTGTATATTACTTTTGGAATTAAAAACATAAAATCAATCTAGCGTCTTTGTTCCGTGGAGCGTGCAGTGAAGAGTGCCGTACGAGGAAGCACTGTTAGCATATCTGGACCCTGGTCTCCGCCTCAGCCGCCTGTCCTTGTGACACCAGGCAGAGCCGGGAGGGTGTCATGCAGTGGCCCCTGCAGCCTCACCCCACCCCTGCTCCTGCTGGGGGCCCTCAACACTGATCCCTAAGGGAAACCCAGGTTTATACTTCAATCTGCTCGCAGTCCCCCCGGAGAAGGGGGCATCAGATGGCGCTGCCCGCTTACCGTGAACAGGAGAGAAGGCATGGGTGTGAGGAGCTGCGGGTGGATCATGGAGAGTATCGAGGGCAGGTGGCCCTCCCTGGACCCCACAAAGAACAGCCTGTGGACAGAAAAACTGGTGGTCAGCCTCATCTCTGAGCAGCCCAGGCAGGGTGGGCAGTAGAGGGTGCCTGTGCCCAAGCGCTGGGCTCCCCGACGGGGGCCCACTTGCTGGCAATGGGTAAACTCAGGACCTTGCTCACCTCCAGTCCCCCTCCCCCCAGGCAGGGCGCACAATGAACCCACGAGAGAGTCCAGGAGGACACAGCAGTAGAGCAGTTGTGCCACCTCTGGGGAGGGGAGGGTCATGGTTCCTTCTGTATTACTGGGATATTTTGATAGCTATATGTTACCCAACATAAACAAAAAACCAAAAGCCCCACAGCTTTCAAAGCTCATGTTAAAAAGCAGCATGCAGCACTGTACCCACCTGCCCCCGAGTCCTGCCCTCGCTCCCACAGAGCCCAGGTGTGGAAGGGTGGTCCTGGGTGGGCTCACCTGGAGGATGTGAAGAGGGACCCGTTGACGGAGCCAAAGCAGGACAGGCCCACAAAGACAGGGATGATCCAGGACATGACGCCCAGGTGATAGTTCCCGAACTCCTAGACAGAGGCCGAGCGCGAGTGAGCGGTGCTCCGCGATGCCCGGCACGCGCCCGACCCCCACCTGGACAGCACGCTGTCCTCGTGGCCCGGCCTGGCCCAGCCCCAACCCCAGCCCCTGGTCTGCCGCCCCGCGCACGCTCCTCACAAGGATTCTGCACACGAGTGCCTCCTCGGGGTCTGGACTGTGGGGGCCGTCCCAGGGACTGAGACTTCTTTTGCACAGCACTGGTGTTCCAAAGAGGCCTTTACCCCTCATCCCCACGTGCTGGCACTGTCCTCCGTGCTCCTCGCCCCAGCATCACACCGGGCTGACCAGGTGCCCGGCTTCCTCCCCATTCATAGTCTGCTCCACAAGGAAACACTGCTTTGTCTGTCTCTGGGTCCCCACCACCTGGCCCAGAGCAGGGCTCAGTGAGTATTTACTCAGAGGGTGGAGTGGGTGGGTGAGTGGGTGGGTGGCAACCCTCACCTGCCAAAGCTGCTGGTGAGGACACTACGGGAAGGGAGCCTGCAGGACATTCAAAGGCCCGCTGGTTGTACTCAGGGCCCCGCTCTGCTGGGCGTGGACACAAGGTGTTCAGTTGCTGCCGCCACCATGGGGCCTGGGGACGTGGCTCTCCCTCCTCTGAACCCTGTGTCCAGAACGCCCAGCAGAGGTGGCTCGGGATGTCATGGGCAGCGGTGGGAAAAGGCCACCGAGCCTTTCCTCCCCATGCTGTGGGTTGCAGACCTAAGTCTCGGGGACTGGACTATCCAAATCACCATAATGGACTCACCCCCTCTGCACTTGACTTTAAAAAGGACTGATGCCGGGATCACCGCAGACATGCTGACTTAAAACTGGCCTGGGGTGCAGCCTGGGCATCAGCAGCCAGGGTTGAGAACCAGCACCCTACGCTTTCTGGCAGACTCGGCAGAGAGCAGCTCAACCCCTCCGTGCAGAAGTACAGTTTGCAGACGAGGGGCCTGGTCTGCTCCACATCACAGGCTCAGAGGCGGCAGGGCCGGCCTTGGTCACCTTACCACGGCCACAGCCTCTGACGTCAGCATCTCCTCGGTGGACAGGGTAGTGAAGTAGGCCAGGTTTGTCAGCACATACACCAGGGTGACGATGGGAAGGGAGATGATGATGGCCAGGGGCAGGTTTCTGAAAGGAACGAAAGGGCATGTCACCCAAGGGCAGCCGCCCCTGACAGAACCAGCCCCAGTGGCGCTCTGGCACACAGGAGCCTAGGCGGCTCTGTGAACCTGGGCTAGGGACTCGACCCCGCCGGCCTCGGCTCCCCTTCTGCCAGATGGGCACTCCTGTTTATTCTGAGCAGAAACCTCACTGCAGGTCAGAGCCACTGTGTGGCTGGTTGGAGGTAAAACCCAGCGCCCCTTCACCCCAGCATGACCCCGACCCCAAGGCCCCTCCCGAAAGGCCCTGCACTGCTTTCATCCGAGACCAGGCTGGGCCCACAGAAGGGTTCTTTGGCAGGACTGGCTTCTTCCTTCTCTCACATTAAAATAACAAAAGGAAATGTCTGTGTTCACACATGTACCTGTAGGGGTTGATCATCTCCTCTGTGACAAAATTCAAGTAGTTCCTAGAATTTAGAGAGCAGGGTTTAACCACACATTCCTCCCAGAGTCACTGGGGGGAAGAGAACACAGATTCCGTGGGGAGCCCCTGCTGGCTGCTCTGGGCCAGGGGAGGAGACCCCTCCCCCACCACGGGGGCCCACCCCGGTGAACAGCTGGGGGCAAGAGCAAAGTCCTGCTCCCTTGGGAAAAGCATGACCCCACAGGCCCACCCCCTCAGCTGGCCTTGCCCTCTCTCTGACCAGCCTTCCGGCACCTTCACCCCCCACCTGCCCGCCACATGGCAGCCCTTCCTGTGACCCAGTATAATCCGGCCTGAGAGCAGGACCAGAGCTGGGGACCCAGCAGGACAGAAAGTGTCAGGAGAAACCTGGCGAGGAAGAAGCCAAGGCCCAGCAAGCCCAGCCTATTGAGTGAAGATGCTTCACACCCCTTGACGAAGGTTTATCCATAGGGCCGCCTTCTCAGGGGCCAAGGCACAGCGGAGAAAGGCACCACAGGCTGCTGCGGGGCCCGTCCCACGCTTTCCCAGGATGCATGGGGCTCCAGCAGCTCTGAGAGGCTTTCCTGCCGCTCTCTGAAACTGCCAGTGTGGCCAAGAGATTCAGATTTCTGGACATCTCAGGGCCTGCCCTGTGTGTCCCAAGGCCCAGAGACCCAGACATTCTGGAACTTACCATCCCCCATAGGCAAAAAGGCCGCTATACAACGCCAATACAATATTTCCCACATCCAGTTTGGTGCCTTCAAATGAGAATTTTGGATCCAGATTGGACACACTACCTGCAAAGACCAAACAGACAGAAATGTTGGGTTAGAGAGCTCTACAGAAGCCACGCAGTAAGTTCCAGAATATCCCTGGAACAAAATATAGTAACAAACAAAAACACTGGGGTGAAATCTTTCCACTGTGACAAATTAAATTCACCCACTGAGCCACCGACGCACACGGTCCTGACTTCCCAGGGAAGTCAGCCCCGGGCTCGGAGCTCAGGCAAGGTGAGCATGACCCTGCCATGACCTGGAGGAGCGTGGTCTTCAAGGGGCCCACAGTCCATCTGAGAGGGGCATGGTACCTCTGCAGACCCTTGGTCATTCCGAGTGCCAACAGCCAGGCAGATGCAGGGACATGTCGGGAGGGAGGGGCTGATCAGCCCTGGTCACCTCAGAGCACGGTCCCCCACAGACCTCAGTTGGAAAGCCGCAGGTCCGGGGACCCACGCCAGCCTTCCCGTGTGTCCGATGGAACTCTTGATGCCACCTCCTCATGGCTGTGGTGAGCACAAAATGACCCAAAAGGGACTTAGACTCTGGCGCTCAGCGGGGACTGAGCAGAACAAGAGGACGGCACGGGCTGATGGTGCCGTGATGCCAGTTAACTGTCTTAACCTGGGCGCCTTCTGGACGCTGTGTGGTGGGGCCGGTGGAGTTCAGCCTTGGTCCTTAACCCAGATGAACATCGTACTGCGCTCCCAGACATAAGGGGTGTGGTCTGGACAGCTCGGGCCCACTCCTCTACCGACTGCTTCTACCCAGAGGACAGAGCCCCACATCCTGTGGTCCGCACTCTCAGTTTCAGAGCTCGTGGCGAGACAAGCCCGTCTGATGTGCACTGTGGCTCAGTGAGGGCCCAGGGCTGCACTAACAGATACCGGAAGACTACGGGCTCAGACAACAGAGGCTTCTTCCCTCCCAGTTCCTGAGGCCAAAGGCTGAAATCCAGGCGTCACAGGGCCACGCTCCCTCCGGAGGCTCTATGGATGGTCCTCCCTGCCTCTCCCAGCTCCTGGGAGCCCCAGGGGTCCTTGGCTTGTGGCCGCACCACTCCAGTCTCTCCCTCTTTCCTCACACAGCCTCCTCCCTATGTCTCCTCTTCTGTCTCGTACAAGGATGCTCACTGGATTTAGGGCCCACTCTAATCCTGGATGGTCTCATCTTGATCCTTCCTTTGACTACATCTGAGAGCATTTTTCCAAATACGAGCACAGTCACAGGTCCCAGTGGACATGTATTTGGGGCCCACTGTTCAGCCCAGCACAGTCGACACTGAAATGTGGATATCTCAGAAAGGTCCCTGGCTATTAGGACAGTTTCTGGCCCTTTCTGAGGCTCAGTTACATCATCCGCCAAATGGTCCAAGAACATGTGGGCCCGGACAGACTCACTCTGTGAGGGGCCAGCCCCAGCCGGTGGCAACAGACGCAGGCCAGTGACCCTCTTCTCTGCACTGGGGAGGGTCACCAGGCCCTTAGGCTTTCAGTCACTGGGACCCCTGGCTCCAGGCTGGATGTGGCACACTCATACACTCAGAGGACTTTCAACAACAGCAAAGGCACCCCCAAGGGGAACGCGGGCACCCTGTTGCCTCCTGCTCACCTGACACTGGAGGAGCGAGCTGACCTACTGGTCGGGCGTGGACTGTTTGTTCATTTGGGGGCTGCTTCAAACCGAGTCTGTGACTCTACATGCCAGGGTCTGTGCCCCACCCCTGCTGAGAAGCTGCTGTCCAGGTCCAACCGGCCCAAGCTGGGTGGGACGCAGTCCCCGGGCTGCTACATGGGTCAATGTTACCGGTGGCTAGTGGGTCAGCCAGTCCCTGGGAAACAGGGATGAAGAACCCCACAGGAGACCCAAGGTCCCCAAGGGCGCTCATGCCTTCCACAAAAGTGACACCTCCAGTCACCCCAGAAGCAAGACGGAGTGACAGTATGCGAGGTTTGCAAAGGGACCTGAGAGGAGGTTCCCATACAACCTGACACTTTACTTGAATTTACTTGACTAAAGCCTGCACGTCAAGGCAGCAGCGAATTTCCTACAGCAAACGCTGCAGTGGGGAAGAACCCCCCCCACCCCCATCCATCCGACTTGTCTCGGAGCTTATTTGTTCCAGCCCTGCGGGGATGCTCAGGCCTTTGATCTCCCGCCCGAGGTCGGGGATGACACAGGATCCACAAGCTCCCCTCACGCTGCCCACAAGGCCATGATCTCATGACCAGAACAGGCTCCAGGGTAGTCGGCACCTTACCCTTTGAACCGCCTGCACATGATCCCTCTTGGAGGCCTGGTCCCAGGACTGCCTGGTCACAGGGTGGTCAGCAGGCTGGGTGGGTGGGTGGGGCAGTGCTTGGAGCCAGCTCAGGACAGTGGGAGCTCCTCTGTGCTCCCTCCCAGCCGCTCTCCCGTGGAATGTTCCGTAATGTGCATTCCTTTGTGCCTGCGGAGCCCTGCCTGTCCCAGGGCCTTGCCCACATGCTCCTGCTGTGGGGAGCAAGGAGGAGTATCTGTCTTACGGTCAGGGGAAACTGGGAGTCAGGCCACCTGCCCAGGGGTGTGGGGACCACTGGCATGCAGCTGGTGTGGGATGACGGCAGTCCCCGAGGATGCTGGGGCAGCTGATTGGCCGCATCTCCAGGCATGGCAAGAATGAGCCAGAGGCCACAGGCGCTCCTAGTCTGGAGCTGCTGCCCAGGGCTGCTCCTGCTAGTCTGGATCTCCGAAAGGTCACATACCTCCCCTTCCCCAACAGGACGCTGCTGGATCAGACTTACAACTACTTCTGGAACATTAAAGGTCTCTCACAATAAAGGTTCCTAACGAGTGAGGCAAGCTTGCCTTGAATTTATAATTTTCTCATTAATCTGCCCCATTTTCCTATTAGGATATATATATATATATATATATATATATATATATATATATATATATATATATATATTTCTTTAACTTATTTTTAGAGAAAGGGTAAGGGAGGGGGAAACATCAATGTGTAATTGGTTGCCTCTTGTGCACCCCCAACTGGGGACCTGGCCTGCAACCCAGGCATGTGCCCTGACTGGGAATCAAACCAGCAACCCTTTGGTTCGCAGGCCGGCACTCAGTCCACTGAACCACACCAGCCAGGGCAGAATATACTTGTATAACTCCTATTTATTATTCAGATTGGATTTCTTTTTCCATAGGCGGGATACAGATCTTGGCGGAGCTGTGAACACTGGCTCCCACCCCAAGCACGGCCCTGAGCTGCTGACACTGTGCGTGCGCGAGTGCACAGGCGGGAGATGCCGCTACACGGGGGACGGGTGTGCCGTGTGCAAAGGACAAAACTCCAGGCTTGAAATGCATCCCAGGGCTTTCTGGGGAAGCTTAAATGTTTCCAGCCCTAAGGCCTGGGTGACTTCAATGTTGTCATCAAGGGATGGCCAATTCAGAGTGTGACATGTACATGCAGTCATCTCCTTGAGCCAGTGATGCTGGGGACAAGAATTCCTGCTGTTGAATGGTATTTCCTAGGGTTTACAGCTCGATTTTGCAGCCTCTGAAACACCAGATAAACGAACACTATTAGCTGCTCTGACCAATTCAGACTGAAGTGTATCACTGGGCTGTACCTGGAGCCTCAGCTAGGTCCCTCCCAACCAGCCCATGATGCTTCTATTCCTAGGACAGCTGTGGCTGGGGTAACCTGCCAGGACCTTCCTCGACTGTCCAGGGTCTCACTACCAAACCCCCTGGAGGAAAGCAGGGATCCAGGCACACAGAGGGACAGCAGTCCCTGCCCCATGAGCAGGGCTGGCAGACCTCCCACTTCTCTCCTGGCATGGGGGGGTGCTGAGGGGTGCTGGCAAAGCTCAGTCAAGGACTTAGCTGCTTCGGACTCCAATCAACCTGCTGCAGTTCCCCTGAGCTGTCCCCTGCCCTGTCATTTCACTGTTTCCCAGCTCACGTAGGCACAGTGTGGTCTACTGAGGACAAGGGACGGTGAGGGCGATCTGAGAGTGAACTGCTGAGAGCAGCCTAGCACACACGTGCACCTGTAGCAGAGTTCCCGGGCTTGCTCAGCCTGTCTGTGCCGAATTCTGGCCCGAAGCAGAGACCCACAGCTCCCCCAGGCATATGACCAAATGCCGGTTGAGCACGCTGCCCCCGTCAGTGGGTACCATGGAGAGGACGCCAGGCCTGCTGGCTCTGCCCGGCCCCCACAGGGCTGGCACAGTCTGAAGGAGCTCAGGGGTGATGGTCCAGGAGCAATGGCTCTGCCTGTCTCCTGAACAGCAAGAAGCAAGTGAGGCAGTCATACCTCCACTTAATGATGTGCATTAGCAGCGGCACAGGGACGGGGCTCCTCCTTCCCAGCAGGAGGGCGGACGCTGGACTCCACACGGCAGTTTTCACCACCCACTCACTCCAGCAACCCAGCCACATGCAGCGGTGTCTGGAGATACTAAAGGTTGTCACGCTGGGGTGGGGGGCTTGTTATGGGGGGCTAGGTGTGCTGCTCAACATTTTGTAATGCACAGGGTGGCCCCACAGCAGATCACCCCAAAAGGCAACAGTGCTGGGCTGAGACCCCACTCTAGACAGAGGATGACAGATGTGTGGCCCATGTGCCACTGCTCTCCACAGCCAGAACAGACCCACTAACTTGCCCATGTCCTCTCTCCCATGGACCCCAAACCAGGGCACGATCCTTGCTTTTAATATAGAGCTCCTGGCCCAGGCAGACATACATAAATGACTGCATAGCTCCCCCACTTGAGATCTAGCCTCATGCTCTCCCTCCTGCCATCCACTGGGAGGACAGGAGCAGTACAGGACCTCCCATGAGGACTGGGGGCAAGGGTATGGGAACCCCAGCACCCCACAGTACGTTGCTGATGACGCCTATCACGCCACAGCAACACTAAAAGCTGCCTCTAACTTGCATTTCCCACCCCCGAAGCTCTTGAATCTTCAGTCTGCCTTCTTTGCCCTAAAATGTAGTCTTTAGCAGCACCTCCCCAGAG